TGAAGGCTAAAAGCAAGACCTCAGAAGGCATTGTGGAAAGAGTAGAGGTGGGTAGAGGCACCCCAACTCGGTAGAAGACAGCACCAACCTCTCCTATGCATCACCCATAGGATGATACTATGCACCCATAATATGCTTCTATTAAGCCCAGCACCACCAGGTAGATGGGATTTAAGCAATGAACCATCTGGTGGCCATTCCATCCATAGGTTTTTTGAGGACAGTGACCATCTTTAAAAGAAAATAAAAGAGAAAAAATTAAAAATAATTTTAATAAAAAAAAAATATATAGGAATTTCTCTGGAGCTGTTGCGGTCAGTGTGGGTTCGGTTCAGTTTCAGATAGCTCCTCGTTTCAGCTTACACTTCTCGATATCTATAGGCCCCTTCTGGTGTAGTCAGTGTTACCTACAGGGATTTTAATCTGTTGCACCAGTCACTTCTGAAGCGGTTCCCTTTGTTTATTTGGCTTCTGTTTGCCGGTCTCTTCAGTGTCTAATTTCCGCCCTGACACAAGCGGGTGGAGATGGTTTCTCGTTCAGGTTTGCGTGTTCAGTCGTGCTTCGGGGAGGGAGGGGCTCTTCAGACAATCATCACTGGTGTGCGTGGGGAGGACTCGCAGTGTTCCGGACGCACTGGGTTTGCCCCCGCTTGCGGCGTGTGCTTTCCCTGTCTACACTGCTCAGGCTCCAGGCTGCTCTATATGGAGTGGGCCCTACGTTGTTTGTGGTTCCAGTTTTTGGGTTCTCCACAAAAGCGCGGACTCGGTTGGGCCTGCGTTTTGTGCCATCCACGGCAGGAGCAGCTCAGGCAGCCAGGAGCTTGACGGGCGCCCTCTCCCGGGTGCGGTGCGCCTTCTCCCCTCCGTGGGCCCAGCCTCAGTTTCCGCGCGTGCCATTGGGTGCCCCTTGTGTCTGTTCTGTGGAGCTGGTCTTTAGCCGCGACTCTCCCTCCTGGCGGATGTCAACCATCCAGAATCTCAGGAAGTCTTTGATTAGAAACTGGGAGCCTGTTTGCAGTTTGGTAGGGGGTGCCGTCTCTGGGGCTGAGTTTGCCCCTTTCCCCTCTGCCCTGCCTCCTGCCTCCGGCGAGGGATGGGCCGGTTCGAAGCTGGCTAGCTCTTCTCTGGGATCGCTCAGTTCTTCCTTTGTTCTGCGAACGGGCCTGCAGTGTGTTTGGGCTGGTTAATTTTCTCTCTCTTGCTATCCCACAGTTTAAGTTGCTATCTCACGTTAGCTCCCTCCGATTGCCCTCAGGGCATTCAGGCCCAGTCCTTACCCTAAGCAATGCTGCCCGCTCCTCTCCGTTCCGTCCCCACTTGCTGGTGGCGGATGCAGGCGTCTGGGGTACTTCTCTTCTGGGAGTTGCTTTTAGGCATGTAATCTGTGGGTTTTATTTATTTTTCCTCCCAGTTAGGTTGCCTTCCGAGATTTGAAAACTTCCCTCAGACCCGCCAGTGAGAGGGTTTCCTGGCGTTTGGAAACTTCCTCTATTACGACTCCCTTCCTGGGACGGGTCTCCGTCCCTAGCTCTTTTGTCTCTCTTTTTATCTTTTATATTTTGTCCTACCTCCTTTCGAAGACGATGGTCTGCTTTTCTGGGCGCCTGATGTCTTCTGCTAGTGGTCAGAAGTTGTTTTGTGAAGTTTGCTCAGCGTTCAAATGTTCTTTCGATTAATTTGTAGGGGAGAACGTGGTCTCCCCGTCCTATTCCTCCGCCATCTTCTCAAACACCTATCATCTAGCAGCCATCAGACTCTAGGACAGTGACCATCTTATTAGCTTCTGATTCCCCATTCCCTAGCAGTCTCTGGGCTTATGCCAGGTCCTTATCAAACATTCAAAAGCTTTCTAGATGTGATTAGAGCAAACACTATACCAAAAATAATCTAGAGCAGGGGTCCCCAGCCCCACAACCTGTTAGGAATTTGGTCACACAGCAGGTGAGTGGTGGGCAAGGGATGGAAGTTTCATCTGCCACTCCCCACAGCTTGCATTATCACCTGAACCATCCATCCCCACCATCTCTTGCATTACCGCTTGAACTTTCCCTCCCCTACCACATATCCGTGGAAAAAGTGTCTTTCACAAAATCAGTCCCTAGTGACAAGGGAACTACTGATCTAGAATAACTGTATCTCCCACTCTTTGTCTATTTAATAAACTCTTTGCATAATACACTACACAAAGTTTGCTCACCAGACAAGATGTACACTTCCTGGGGTATGTGCAGAGTGTGCGTATGCAGAGCATCTCAGTCCCCTGTGTTATCAACCAGTAATGACTTTCAACCTGCCTTGAACACAATTCCTATGGAGAGCAGCTTCTCCTCCAAAGGCCCTGATGGGGCTGGCAATTCTAGGCCCTTCTCTACCTCTGCTCATACACAGGGCCAGACAAAACACTTTATTCTCAAAGGCCCATGCTCAGGGAAGAGCATGTGGACCAAGGCAGAGCCCTTCTATAAGATTTTTCAGTATAGCTGGACAGGCAGGCAGGTTTTGCACTGAACAGTGTACATCAAAACTACAGTCAGCATCCCTCCAGGATTTCAATAAATTCCTTTTACATGACATAATAAATTCTCTTCTACTTAAGCTACTTTCAGTAAGTTTCCAAGCCTTCCACTCGAAAGAATCTCTTTTCAAAACATATATATATATTTCCAGACTTCCTTTAAAAAAGAAGTTTCAGTTTTAAGTGAAAAATAAAGTTCTGAATTCCAGAACCACATATTAAAACTGACGTGGGCCTGGGAAAGCCTGGGGCAATGAATGAAACCCCTTGTCTGGGCAGCTGCTCCTTCCCTCTGGCCTCAGGGTTGCTTCTCCAGCTCCCCCTGCCTGCCTGGGGTCCCCTGCACCCTGCGAAGAAGCTGCTAGTTCATTTCACTCCCATGAGAAAATCAAAGGTCTGTTTCCATTTGAACAGCATTCTATTTTAAAAGAATACATAAGCAATAGAAAGCAGCCCAGGGTCCTTAGGGTTGACACCTAAGAAGAAACGGAGACTGAAAAGCTGTGACTTAGGAACAGAAGAATGAAGGTGTACAATTAGTGATGTCCATTTGATATTTAAAATACAAAGAAAGTTAAACACAGTCACCGTTTTGGACATATATTTTATTGTTTAGAAATTCCCACCAGAGCTATCATGAAGTACCTGTGTCAGGAGACGCCTATGAGAATCCAGACTGGAAAACGGACATGTAGGCCTGTCAGCTCTTCCTGCAAATTCAAACACGGGGACAACCAGTCTGGCCACAAGGTGCGAGGTGATGGGCCACCACAGAATAGCCCAGCATCCCCCCAACTCCCGTGCAGACCTAGACGAACAGCAGAAAACTTCACAGGCAAAGATTTAAAGTGCAACCTCAAATGACAAACAACTTACTCTGGTGGTGCCCAAACAAGACACCACAATCTGCAGAAAATCAAATCTATCATGATCAGAGTTTCTACCTGAATCAAGTTAACCTCCTAAACCAGCTAGCTGACCTTATTAAGTATTTACTTATTTTTAAAAGCAAACCAAATGTATACGGCATCTTTTTTAAAAAATCATGTAAACGTTGCAAAGTTTTTAGGGGTTACTTATAATCTGAAGAGATTTATTTAAAAAAAACTACTGGACTTGTTAAAACTACAAATACTAACCCCAACTCCCCCCATGAAAAAAGCAATTGTTACAAAAATATAGAAAATATACTAGCTTCTACTATTTAACCTTTCCACCAGAAATCTCACAACTCTGGGACACATCCTGGCTTATATACCATCAGCAAGCACAAGTGCAATTTTCTCGAAGTTTTAAGGAAGAAAAAGTTCTAAAACATTCCCTTTGTTATTTGAGATTGTGGCTACTTTCTTCATAGGGACTGTGATGCTAGTGGACGGGGCAGTCTGAAGTTTCCTATTGCATCCCGTGCGTGGACCTGGCGTGGGGATTACAGGGCAAGGCTGCTTTCAAAGTTCACTCCTTTAGCCTCTTCAGATTTCTCTCTTCAGTCCCTTCAATTCCACTTTAGGACTTGCTGGATCCCCTGACTCCTGAGGGGGCGTTGGCTTCTCAGGGAAGCCCACCAAGGATGGCCCAGAGAAGGAGAAGAGGCCATAAGCCTGCTGCGGCCTGTAGTGCCTACTTCCGGCCTGTAGTGCCTACTTCCGGGGAGTGTGGGTCAGGTGCTCCACCAAGGTTTGCTCATGGCAGGGAAGCTGCAGGCTTGGGGGATGATCCCCCACACCTACTCCCAAAAGATGACTGATGCCATGGGACAGTCTACAGAGCCTGGGAGGGGAGCCAGCAGCAGACATGGAGGCAAAACACTTTACTCATCGAACACTTTGATAAACTTTGAATCGGATCACATGTACAGAGCAGCCAAGCTACCAGGCACTTGGACCAATTAAGAGCTAGGATATGGACCAAATTCCGCTTGGTCCAAACAACAAACACTGCAGGAGGGGCATGTGGTCTTCATGTCCCTAAGGGTACCCTCCTTCACTAGGACATTTTCAGTTTCCTTGTTCTACTATTGCCTAAAAGCTCCCTGAAGCCCCTTGGATGAGGCTGGCTGTTCGGTAACAGTGGGATAGATCCACACACCATCAGGCAGAATCCCCCACAACTGAGATATTGCTGGGCTGATGAACCCTGTGCCCCTGGAGCTCAGGGAGACCTCAAGATGGGTGTCCCAGGCTAAGAAAGCTCAAGAGAACCCTTCACCTGCAGCCCTCCTGGGGGCAGAGTCCTCACTACCTGCTGTGTGCTCCCAGATGGAGGCCTGGTTCAACTTGGAGCCTGGCTCACAGCCACCCCTCCCCTGCAGGACCTTCTGGCCTTGACCACAGTCCCCACACCCACCACCACCTAGCCTGGCATCCTTGTGCTGCTAGCCTCACCATCCTAGTATACGAGCAGGATGCCTGCCTCCAGGTCAGAAGGATGGGCCCTCTCTGGGCCTCCAGTGGACTCCAGGCTCTCCTGTTTGAAGGAATAGATGTTCACACCGCTAAGGGTTTTATTTCACAGATCATGGCGGTGAGTTTGGGATTTCCAGTCCTCATCGCGGTTAAGTTATCCATTTCCTGATGCCTTGCTTCTGCAAACCTGAAGCAGCTCACCCAACACACCCAGGCTGTTTTAAACCCCAAATGAATTTTCCACAAGCAACAACAACAGATTCGGAGAACACTACCACATGTACGCTGAGCAAGTCCCCTCTACTTTGGTTGCATCAAAAAAACAGGGCTTCTGAGGCATCCCCAATTCACATTTGCTCAGAAGAGAGGTGCTCCCAACATCAAGGCACAAAGAAAGAAGTCTCCTGGGGCAAAATGACGATGAAAGCGACCAGTGACCTTCGTAAGGCCTGAGGCGGAGTCGCTGGGGGAGGCGAGTCTGGGCTGGGCGGGCATATCAGGAAGCAGGCCGAGGGCCCAGTCTCCCTCTGGGGCCCGAGGAGTCCTCATGCGTACTTCTCCAGGAACTTTATGTGAAAGTCCTTCACCTTCTGTAGAACCGTCTTTAGTTTCTCCACCGGAGGAAGAATGGTCATTCTGTCAGGAAGGAGAGCAGCACAGTTGGACACGAATTGCTCTGGAGAAGGGGAGAGAGGTGAATCTGGCCGGTCACTCCTCTACCTGCAGCCGTGGAAGCCACACCATGCAGGCAAGCTTCCTGGGGAGGGACAGGCCCTGGACAGCACCTGGTACTTGTTGAACCACGTTCCCTCATCATTCACATATTCTTTTAGCCAACTCACACATGTGAACAAATGCAGTAAGCTGGTGGTGGCATCTCAGCTTATTTAACCCATCCACCAATAATCACAGAAGGCCCACCCAACACTCTGACAGGTGCCCAGAACTTTTCTCTGGGGCTGCCCTTAGTCCTGCTAGTCAAGCCTTTTCCATCTCCACTATCAGTCTCATAGGGAGAACTTCCAGTCACAACTTCCCTCCATAGGAATGTCCATGTTGTCATGGTAACTAACTTCTCTCTCCAGTCCTGGCAACCTGCTTTCCATTCCTAAGGGCATATCTCAGTGAGCCACAAATTGCCAAGAAGCCCAACTGGGATGGAAAGGCTATCCATGCACATTTGTCCACTGAGGGGCACTGCCCATGACCTTCACTGGCTCAAAACTTGGCCCCAGGTGCTAAGCCCAAGACATTTCTTTTTTTGGACATCTGCTGCAGGAAACATTGGAGAGGCTTTTCAGAACAGAACTGGCCTTGGTGGGAAGCCCTGACTGAGCTGTTCAGATGGCCTGGTAGAGTCCCATGCCTGTGAAAGGTGGCACAGCAATTCCACCGTATCTCAGAGGCAACATCTCAGCAGGTTTTTGGCTCAGTGGACAAGCTACTGAGCTCCTGGATGCAGACTGATACATCATGGAGTTGAAAAGGCACAAGAGAAGAAAAGAAAACACAGCACTGGGAACACTGCTGACAGCATGTGATAGATGGAGGCAGTGGAGGGGGAGCCAGGGGGCAAGCAGACGACCTCGGAGTCCACCCAGTCTTCCTGAGTCCCTGTGCAGGGTCTCAGCCATCTCTGCGGCAGGACGGAATGGGCGTGGGACGAGGGCACAGGGGCTTCACGCATCTCAGTCTCTGAAGTTGCCTTGCTGTTAAGAAGCCTGAGTTTCCCAAGACAAACCTGGACCCGCCCCCTGGTGCAGAGGAAGTGGTACCTGAAGTGGTAGGTGCCTTCCCTCTGCCCGAAGCCGCTGCCAGGTACGACACAGATGCCCGTCTCCTCCAGGAGCTTCATGCAGTAGAACATGTCGGGTGCCATCTTATGGGCCTGCGGACACGGGACAGAACTTAGGAGTCATTCCCGATTTCACACTGCACAGACACACCACTACAATCTCAAAGCCCAATATGCTTGCCACGGCGGGTTCTTTCCCGTGGCAGGGCCCCTCCGCCCTCTCTTCCTGGGAGAAACAAGGCAAGACACTGGGTGCGCAGGCAGCTGGGGCCGGGAGCAAAGAACCCAAAGGCCGCTTTGGGACGGCTTCTGCTGTCCCCTAGGGAGTGCCAGCCCGAGTCCTATGTGCCCCGCCTCCACAAAGTAGCTCCCCAAGCATTGGCCTTGGCCTCCTACACACCAAGCCAGGGCCCTGAGGTCTGTGCCCAGGGGAGCCTTAAGGAACAAGCCTCTCAGGGCCCCTGCTGATGGTGCTTCTCACACTTCGGTTTGCACAGCCAGGCTACCTCTTAAATAGATTCTCAGAATCAGGGATTCTGATTCAACAGGCTGGGGGATGGGGCCAGATTTTGAATGTCTAACAAGGTAGGTAAGGGGGTGTGAGGACACTTTCAGAGATATGGCTCTGGCCCTTGAGCTTCAAACCACGGTCAGTGGCACCACCTGAGAACTTATGGAAATGCAGAACCCTGGGCCCCTCCATAGACTTCCAGAGCCAGAACTGACATGTTTAACAGGGTCTCAGGTGATCCATGTTCACATTCAAGTTTGAGAAGCGCTACTGTAGGGTATGGTGGTCAGGTGGAGGAGAGAGCTCTTGATGCTTCTCCAGTGTCTGTTCAGTTTGAAATGCATCACATCACACCTGGGTCTGACCTCACGCCCACCCCATCACCACAGCTGCTGCAGGGCTGGGTCTCCAGGAGCCTGTCATCTTTACACGTTAAGTACCATCTGACCAATGGATACACCAAGTTCAGAGCCTCAAGGGCCAGCACTTGTGCTCCTCGAGGCAAGAAAGAGTTCCAAGTGAACCTGCTGAGAGAGCCAGCCCAACCCGGCTCCTCTGACCTGAGCTGCCTCCATGGCTTTCGCAGGGATGAAGATTCGAGGAAAGGCGTACATGGCCCCCATCAAGGGGTTGCAGTGAATTCCTGGGACTTGGTTAAACATGTCTTCTGTCAGTTTAGCTTTTTTGGCCAAATTACCCAAGACGGACTCTTTCTCCTGAGGAGACAGAGAAAGCAGAGGAGTCAGCATCTCCAGACATCATGGCTCCAGACACTGAAAACCATTCCTTCAAACTAGGGCATCCAGGCAGACTGGTGAAAGGCAAGCTGTTGTGTGCTTCAGCAGCAAACCAGGGAGGTGGGCAAGACACGTGTCCCTCTGCAGAATGTCCTCCATGGACACTCAGCCCAGGAGGTTGCCACAGGCCCTGGGCAGGGACACATGAGTCACAAGTAGGTGCCAAGTAGCTTGTGTCATGGGTTCTATTCTCGTACCAAGATGTCATTCCTGAAAACAAGAAAAACCAGTCCCTCCCCATCAGCCTGAACGAACTTGGCCCTGGATGGAACATCCTAGAACATGCTTCTAGAAGACAGCCCCACCATTTGATTCTGGGGAGCTACCCTTTCCCCAGTCCATGTGATGTGTTGGGGCACACACAAAGCACATCAGTGACAGGCTGAGAGCTTGACACGTGTCCAAAGCTGGAGCAGGCAGCCCAACACTTGTGCAAGTTCTGCTGGACTGGGAGGTGAAGCGGTGTGCCCTGTGGATGAATGAATAAGCAGAACACAGCACATACACACAGTGGAACGTTACCCTGCCTTCAAAAGGAAGCACATTCTGACACACGCCGTGACAGGGACAAACCTTGAAGACATAGTGCCAATCGAAATAAACCAGCCACAAGACAAATGCTATCTATATATGAGGTACCTAGAGTGGTCATATTCACAGAGAAAGAAAGTAGATTAGAGGTTACCAGGGGCTGGGGAAGGGGGAAATGATGAGTTATTGTTTAATGGGTACAGTTTCAGTTTGGGAAAATGTTCTGGAGATGGATGCTGGTAATGGCTGCACAACGTGAATGTACTTTATTCACTAAACTGTTCAGTCAAAAAAGATCAAAGTGGCAAATTTTATGTTCTGTGTAATTTACCACAATTTAAAAAGAAAGATTGTGAATCTAAAACAGCTGGGAGCTGACTTCTTCAATAAGTGCCATTTTTGTTTAAACTTATTAGAGTTGGGTTTTTGTCATCTGAAGTTGAAAGGGTCTGTCTGCATCACTTCAAGCTGCAAGGACATCTGGTTAAGCCACAGGCAGGTCTGTGGTCTAGAATCAATGGCATGCTCATCCATTTCCCCCTTTTACATTAGTAACAGAATCATCACCCCGCTCTCGGCCCTCCATGTTCTCAGGACACAAGGCCATTCCCTCTGAGCACCTGCCCATCCGCGGTGCTCACAGATGAGGAAGAAGAAGAGGTACCCACACCCACACTGTGAACAGTCCTCCCACTTCAAATACAGCCCAGCTACATCCAGAGACAACTTTACTGGGGTGGGTCAGGCACCGTGTGGAACCACAAGTGTGCCCTGGAGGTCATCTGGAGAGAGGCTGGCCATGGAGACCATACATGGTGAATGCTGGCCACAGCAGTGATGCAGACAGGCCACGGGACACAGCTGACTCACCCTGCTGAACTGCTCGAAGGATTCCTCTCCTGGCACCGGGGGGTTCACAACGATGTCCATGGCAGCCTGCCCAGACACTGGCGGGCACAGACGCACCGAGAGCAGCTTCACCAGCTGGCCCTTGATTTCAGGGTGCAGGTTGATCACCTCCATGTAGCCTCCTCTGTAGCCACACCTAGAATGTTGAAGCAGGAGAGAGGACCCACCAGTCACAGAGAGACCTCTATTAAGTGCACCCAGCTGGCCAGAATCTCCTGTCACCAGCCCCATGTTCAACACTGAGCTGCCAGGTATGGCCAAGTTCTTGCCAATGGAAAGTAAATAGAAGTGAAAGGTGCAAATCCCACATCACTTCCTTAAAAGCATGCTCTCTCCTTCCTCTCTCCCACTTCCTAAGAAAGGCAGACACCAGAGCAAGCAGCCTCAGTGCTAGAGATGATGCCGCATGTTGAGAAGACAGAGCCAGCCCAGCAGCCTATCTTTGAATGACCTCGTGGGGCAGAGCCAGTCCTGGACTCCCCCTGCCTCTGAATTGTTATCACAGAGACACACTTCCACCTTGTTTGAGCCACTGTAGTTTTTTTTTCTTTCCCTGTCATTTTCTTGTTTTTGCCACTTTATTTTTTAATTGAACGATAATCGCTTTACAGAATTTTGTTTTCTGTCAAACACAGGTACTCCCATGACCCCTCCCACCTGAACCTTCCTCCCATATCCCTCCACATCCCACCCTTCTAGATTGTCACAGAGCCCCTGTTTGAGTCAGACAGCAGTTTCCCGTTGGCTATCTATTTTACATACGGTAATGTAAGTTTCCATGTAACTCTCTCCATATGCTCGCCCTCTCTCCTCCCCTCCCCCCGTGTCCATAGGACAGTTCTCCGTGTCTGTTTCTCCACAGCCACCCTGAAAATAAATTCATCAGTACTGTCTTTCTGGATTCAATATATATGCATCAGTATGCGATATTCACATTTCTTTTTCTGACTTACTTTGCTCAGTATGATAGGCTCTAGGTTTGCTCACCTCATTAGAACTGACTCAAATGCATTCCTTTTCATGGCTGACTAATTTTATACGTATGTACCACAGCTTCTTTATCCATTCATCGGTCGATGGACATCTAGGCTGCTTCCATGTTCTAGCTATTGTAAACCGTGCTGCAATGAACACTGGGGTACATGTGTCTTTTTCCATTTTGGTTTCCTCAGGGTATATGCCTAGGAGTGGGATTGCTGGGTCATATGGTGGTTTTATTCCTAGTTTTTTGTATGAGCCATTATACTTTGGGTCTGTAAGTCTTCTACAGTGAGCCACTGTACTTTGGGGGCCTTTTGGTTATAGCAGCTTAGTCTGACCCCTAACTAGTATTATGTCAGCTCTGCTCCAAAGGGGCATGTGATTAAGGCCAGGCACCCCTTGCATAGGTTCAAAAAGTGGGCATGTGAGCAGCAACCTGAGGATTTTGCTGCAACTTTCTGATGCCTGAAAACAAAGCCAACCCAAAGGAAAGCAGAGCAGGGAATTCCCTGGCAGTTCAGTGGTTAGGACTCTGTGCTTTGACTGCCAAGGGCCCTCGTTCAATTCCTGGTCAGGGAACAAGATCCCATAAGCTGCATGGTATGGTCAAAAAAAAAAAGGATAAAGAAAGAAAGAAGAGAAAAAAAGGGGAGGGGGTAGGAAAGCAGAGCTGGGAAAGAAAACAGGAGAAAGCCAGGAGTAGAGAAAGAGACCCACTGACATTTTTAAGCCCCCTGATTCCAGTTTACTCCTTGACTTTTCACTGATATGGGTTTTTAAACAAGTTATTTATTTTTAATTGAAGGATAATTGCTTTATAGTATTGTGTTGGTTTCTACCAAACATCAGCGTGAATCAGCCATAGGTCTGCCCATGTCCCCTTTCACGTGAACACCCCTCCCTCCTCCACCCCCATCCCACCCCTCTAGGTTGTCAGCGAGCCCCGGCTCGAGCTCCTTGAGTTACACAGCAAATGCCCATTGCCTCTCTACTTACACATGGTAATGTGTGTTTCCACGTTACTGTCTCCATGCATCCCTCCTCTCCTTTCTCCCCCGACCCTGAGCTGTGTCCATAAATCTGTTCTCAATGTCTCTGTCTCCATTGCTGCTCTGCAAAAAGGTTCATCAGTACCATCTTTCTAGATTCCCTATACATGTGTTAGTATACAGTGTTTGTTTTTACTCTTTCTGACTGACTTCACTTTATATGTGTTTTTTTTAAACCCTCTTTCATGTTGAGTTTCTGTTACTTATTGCCAAAAGGATCCTGACTGATACAGAGTCAAATCTCATGAAAATAAGCTGAAATCATAAAAAAAAAAAACAAAAACAAAAAACTTTCAGAACCAAATCAGCTCCATTAGCCACACTTTCTGTAGCTATGCTTCCTTCTCTGGACTGTGACTGATAACATTCAGACTAATGACCACAGAAATAATGGCATCAGCTCCTACCTTCCTCTGTATATTTGCACCACACCCACCCAACCTCAGACCACCTGATACGATGAGAACTCAATAAAACACTTTTGGGATCATGCTGTAGAATGAACCGGCAAAGACAGATCCCCATCTGATCCATCAACTGGCCTTTCCAAGGCAGGAAGATAAATTCTGACCTCTTGGAAAGGTTTTTCGTAACAAAAGTTGAAAGAAGAATCTTTCTGCTTTACTCTCTGCTGATGAGCAGAAAATCAAATTGGGTAAATCAGTCTAATCCTAAGTAATCAGGATCTATGGGCAAGAGGATACCAACTCAGGTTACCAATATCCAGGGCAATTCATAACACAGAGGGAGAGATGGGTAGGTATGTAATAAACACACTTGAGTTTGAAAAATGAGTTGCTAGAGAACATATTTGTTTAAGAAAAGCGGTATACAACACATGAAAGTTTAGCAAGGAGGCACCACAACTACCAGGGTAAACCAGAAAGAACAGCATAAATCAACTCCTGCCTGCAACGAAACAGCCAAGAACAGCTGGGCAACCATCCCAAGGGGACAGCTCCCCTGCGTGTGTGAGTGTGCTAAGTCACTTCAGTTGGTGTCCGACTCTTTGCAACCCTATGGACTGTAGCCCAGCAGGCTCGTTCCTCCATCCATGGGATTCTGCAGGCAAGAATACTGGAGTGGGTTGCCATTTCCTCCTCCTGGGGATCCTCCTGACCCAGGGATTGAACCTGTGTCTCTTACGTCTCCTGCATTGGCAGGCGGGTTCTTTACCACTAGTGCCACCTGGGAAGCTCGCTTGACCTGGTCAATATATTTTTTGAAGCTTCATAGTTACACTGGCCTCCAGACCCTCTCCCCTACCCTGACACCTGGCACATAGTAGAACTCCCACAATGCTGGGGAATGAATGTCCTTGGCTATAAATGCATGGTCCTATCCATCTCAGTCTAGTTTGCAGGTTCCTCCTCTCCTCCCCTGACTTTTAAGCAGTGACGGCCGGGCCCAGTCCCTGGACCTCTTCTCTATCTATACTCCTCCCAATGAGATGTCTAGGCTCGGAGATCTAACTAACAACTCAAATACTGACATCTCGCAAACTTGAATCTCCAGCTGGATATCAGCCCTGAGCCACAGACTCACATATCCATCTCCATCTGGACATCCAACAGGCATCTGCAAATTTTACACATCTAAAACCAATGTCCAAATCCCTCCCCAAACCTGCTTCACCCACAGACATCCTCATCTATTGAGGACAACTCTATGCTTCCTGTTGTGTGAACAAAAAACTTGGGAGTCATCCTTGACTTTTCTCTCTCACACCCTCCTTTTCATCAAGCAACACCCGTCAACTTCACCTTCAAACATACCCAGGATCCAACATCTCCTCCCCATCTTTACCCTGGCCCCTAGTATCTCCCCTGGACTGTGACAGCCTCCTGACTTGAGTGCTTGCTTCCTTTCCTGCCCCCATCATACAGCAACCAGGAGAAGTCATACCTCTGTGCAAACCCTCTAAGGGCTCCCATCTCATTCTGAGTAAAAGATAACCTAAGCAGCCCAGGTGATCTGGCCTCCTGCGACTTTTTGGTCTCAACTGCTGCCACTTTCCCTCTCACTCTTTTCTAGTCTCCTTGCTGCTCCTCGAGCTGCTCCTTCCACCTCAGGGCCTTTGCAGAAGCTGTTTCCTTAGACGTCTGCATAGCTCCCCACCTCCCCTCCCTGGGTCCAATTCTTTAGTGACCAGACGCTGCCTCTCTGCATTCCTACCTCTTCTCTGATTATTTCTGTCCACTTGACACATCATATTCATTTGTCTATTGCCTCTGACCTCACTACAGATGACTCTGTGAGGGCAGAATGGCTGTGATTTGCTCACTGCTGTAACCTCACTGCTGAGCTTCTGAACTCATAGCAGGTGCTCAATAAATATTGGCTGAATGAACGAATACAGGGTTGAAGCTGATGCTCTGGCCCTACAGGTCACGGGGTGCTCAGGCAGGGTGCATACAGAACTCCTGCATACAGAGCTTGGCCACTGGCCTGACAGCACTTGTCCACTCAACCTGCCATCCCTGGCCCTCAGATTCCAGTTGAGTGTCAGAGTAATAGCGACGAGGCTGGCAGAAAACACTAGGGTTGGAAGCTGCTGTAGGTCCTGTATTCATTTGCATCACAGCCTTATTTTACATGAGTCCTTGCACAGGGGATGCCCTCATGCCGATCACTCCCCTTGGGGAGACATGGCCTGTCACCTCCTGCTTCTTAGATCAGCAGAGGCTGTAGACGAGAGTAGCCACCTCTCGTCAGGGTGGAGAAGCAGTGGGACCAGGCAGGCCCAGGAGCAGCGGGAGGGAGGCGGGGGCCCACATACTCGCCCATGTAGCCCTTGGAGGTGGAATGGAAGGAAGCGAGCTCCACGTTGCTGGAGTACTCAGGCCCCATCTCATAAAGCACCTTCTTAAAGGAGTGGAATTTGCAGTCCGGGGAGTACACGTTGTCCTGGTATACCTGCAGGAGGGGACAGGACAGGGACAGTCAGCCAAGTGCCCCAGAAGCTGAGCCACCTGGCTGTGGCCAAGCGAGGGCGCAGGGGCTCTGGGACAACCTGCAGCCAGGGCTGCCTGCCATGAAGCTGGCCTGAGATGTCACCTCTAAGCCAGATGTGCCCAAGGGAACCTTCCAGAACAAGCAAGGCCGCGGGGCGGGGGAGGCCACGGGCTGGATGCCCACTGGATTCTCCCACATGAGCCCCACCCAGTCTCCAGATCGCCTTTCTGCCTCACGTGCCAGTGACATCATGTTACCCTGCCGGCCTGAGCAGGCTTTCATCCCAGAGCGTGATGCTCACCCCGTCAATAAGATGAGTGGTGAAAGCAGTTCATGGACCTGTCCTCTGACATCCCCATATGAAGAGCTAACCGTGCTCCTCAGTGCTTCGCGGCACTCACCCAGCTTTCCATCCACCATCACTGTCATTCTCTCCTCCCTGCACTGAGCAGCGCCTATACCCCTTGTCCCTCCCCGTCTATACAGTCTAGCAGGCAAGCGCTCCATCTGCCCTTGGAGATGAACTTCCCATGCCCAGTTTGGAGACTAGGGAAACCGAGGCTCTCTGAGGCGCTGTGGGTCAGCAGGAGGGTCAGGCCAGCTCCACCTTCAACAAGCCAGGCAGAGCCTCCTCCCCTCCCCAAATCCTCCATGGACTCTCCCTCTCCCCCTCACCAACCCCCCCTTGCTTCCCCAACCTTGAGGGAAGAGGTTCATGCACCAGGTCATTCTACTGCCCCTTCTTTCCTTTAGAAATGAAGATTTCCGTCTATCTGCTATTAATCACAGCAGTGATTTGGTGGATAACCTCTGTGTGTGGGGGTGGGGGTGGTGCTAAGGAGCAAAGGAAGGAAGCACATGTGCTAGAAGCTATGACTAACCAGAAATCATGCAGAAATGAAGAAATGAAAATAGGATTAGACAGGTCTTTAATTTCTTCTTGCTAAGCAGGAAAAGAATAGGCAGGTTTGTCTCCAGATCTAGGGTTTAGGAAGCAGTGATTCTGGGGTTGATAAGATTCCCCTCCTCACAGGACACTGCATTCAGCCCACTCAGCACCCACTCTCCCTTCTTGAGAAAGGGGCCCTTGATTTGCTTCAAGGAACATCCTCCCCAGCTCTCTATCTGCAGGTTTGGGGGCATAGGAGAGAGCTCCCGATCCTTGACTAGAGCCTAGTCAGTCTGCATATTGCAACCACTGGGCCAGAATAATCGGTTCAGTGATGGGTATTTGACCTAAACTGCACCAGTGAAGCTTAACTCTGAGCTTTGTTGAAACGACCAGGAAGATAAGCTCTCTTTCTAGACTGGGAAGATAGCAGGCCGGTGTTTGAGGCCAAGGCAGCAGGATAGAACAAGAGGAGCTGGAAGATATGATTTGAGTCCCTGAATCCAGCCCCACTCCTGAGACCCCACCATCGTGTTAAGTTTAAAGTAGTTTGGGTTAGATTTTTGAAACTTATAACCAAGATTCCAAACCAATATGGGATGATTTCGGTCACAGGCTCACAGGTTGCTTAACACTGAACATCCTCAACCTTGTTAGAATCTCTCCTCCAATATCTAGAAAGTTCTTTTGTCTACAGAACAACAGACCTGGCTCCCTCCCCCAGAAGAGAAAGCATACCCTCCCCTCTGACAGCCCAGGCTGCTCTTACCTCATCGGCCAGGAGAAAGAGCTTCTCCTCCCAGGCAAAGTGAATCACATCTTCTATGCACTTTCTGCTCTGCACCTGACCTAAAAAGTCCCAAACAAAAGCAGAAGGTAGGTAGTCGTGGTGTTTCGATCGTCCCTACGTGAGAATTCCAACCAGAATCACTCAGATGTCTATGTTCCTTCATGATCTTACAGGACCACCCTCCCTAGCTGCTGTGAACCTCCAGGGAGCCCCTAGGGTCAGCTCCATCCCTCTGACTCACTTAAGCCAGGTATATGGAAGGAGTGGTGTTTCACACCCAACTTTCTTGTTATTCTTCTCAGAGGTGTGTGGGGGGGGCGGGAGGAGGATATATGTGTGTTATTCTGTGCCAGAGGACAAGAAGACATGGACGTATCACAAACAGCAGGAAAATAAAACTGAAGGAGTTAAATCATTCAGCCCTGCTCCCCTCCTTCGCCCACAGCAGCCACACCATGAAACGTGCACTGACCTCACCTTCTCCCCACACAAGCTCAGGGACAAGGTCTCTGGCCCAGCATCTCAAAGCCGGCACCCAGCAGGGCCCTCACTGGTAAGCATAGTGGAAGAGGTTCTAAATGAATGAATGAGCCTGCCTACCAGCTCTGGCTTCTCCAGTGACCATGTGGGAGCCCAGCCTGCTGAGGAAGCTGGCAGGCACCCACGGTGTCCCTGCCAGGGTCTCCCTTCAGGGCTGGACGCAACACTTCATTCACCTTAGAGAAATGAGTGCCGGCAGCAAAATATTCACCCATCAGCTCACAGGAAATACTGCGGGTTTCAGTGGGGAAAGGAACAAATGCCACAAGGTAGAAAGAAACATTTTCCCAGATTTTCCGAGGCCCACGATGTGGTCCTGGGATGCTGGACTCGCTCACACAGCTTCTGGAAAAGTACTAGGCAGGCTTGCTGATGCTCACTAAAGACATAAATGTGCACCTATGGGTGTTACATATGTATATATCTACATGTGTATGTATGTGCACATGTATTACTGACATACGTATCTACATCTTGATGCAAAGCAGTATGGAGAGTATATTACCTTTTTGTTAAAAATAAAAATAACCATATTCTTGTCCATGTAAGAATAACAAGACTAAGTCTTAGAAAAATATATTGATGTATCTTATGAGTATGGTATGATTCAGCCAGGATTTCAGACTTAAATCTATCTAAGCAACAAACCAGTTCCTTTACTAAGGGACCAACCTGTCTCCTGCCAAACAAGGGCCACGCAGGCTTCCTATGAAGCAAGCTTATGCTCTGGGAATTAGGAAGGGCAGCAACTCTGGATGCTACAAGTAACCAGCTGCTGTTCCCATAGACAGACAGGGGCTGTCCATCCTGGCAGCCTGTCCTGCCTACCACATGCTCCTGGTCTTCCCTCCCAGGGCTGCGATGCCACAAAGTGTACCCTGTTAGAATGCAAGCAAAGGTTTGAGCACCCAGAGTATCAAACCAGGGGTACATAATGCCAGTTTAGTTCAGTCACTCAGTTGTGTCCGGCTCTTTGCAACTCCATGGACTGCAGCACACCAGGCTTCCCTGTCCATCACCAACTCCTGGAGCTTGCTCAAACTCATGTCCATCAAGTTGGTGATGCCATCCAACCATCTTATCCTCTGTGATCCCCGTCTCCTCCCGCCTTCAATCTTTCCCAGCATCAGGGTCTTTTCCAAGGAGTCAGCTCTTCACATCAGGTGGCCAAAGTATTGGAGCTTCAGCTTCAGCATTAGTCCTTCCAATGAATAATCAGGACTGATTTCCTTTAGGATGGACTGGTTTGATCTCCTTGCAGTCCTAGGGACTCTCAAGAGTCTTCTCCATAACGCCAGGGGGAGGACAAGGGCCGGGCCTCAGGAAGCCTGCAGCTCAGGAGAGGAAAGGAGACCTGCTGTGCACAAATATTCCCCCACGTGGATCGATGCAAACTGTGGGATAAGGACAGAATTTATTTCTCTCGAGTGCCTGGGATGAAGCAGTCACTCAGAACAGGCCTGCGGAGCAGGAGGAGCTGCATAATCTCCAGAGGGCAGGGCATGACTGGGCCTAGCATGGGGAGACACGTGTGGACCGCAGAGGAGAGGAGGCTCTGCTGTAGGCCCCAAAGACTGGGGAGGGAGCTTCCAAGCGCCCCTTGCCAGAGGCCGGGCCAAGGGAATGTCCCACACACTAATAGGGATACCTGTTGCTTGCCCAGTGTCCTGCCCTTCTCTGAGCAACAGCACACAGCTGTCCTAGGGGAACTCCCTCTCTTTAAACTCCAACAGGGACACAGACCCAGCCAATCAGCCTCAGTGATTTAACTAGGTCAGGCACAGGCAGGTGTCCCAGTGTGGTCCAACAGAGTCTGGCCTGGAGCTTCGGTTGAAACCAGGGGTGAGGCTCCCTGTGGAGGATGCTCAGCTGCTGGGCACTGACTGGACCTTCGGAAGGCCACTCCCAGGACAGGTGCTTCCTGAGGAGGATTCCAGCCCGGAGCAGAGCTGGGTCATGGCCTGAGGTTCCCGTGACAACGGTGTTGATTCAAGTGTGCTGCCTTACCCTGGACTTCACAGGTCCATTCCCTTCAAGCCTCAAGGTGAGTTTCTGTCTCGAATCCCAAAGAGCCCTGTTAGCCACTAATATTCCACTCCATTTCGACACCTTTCAGACAAAGTGGTCACAGTGTGTGGTCCAGATGAGATACACGCTCATCACAGGCAGGTCTTTATTTTCCATCCCCCATCTTCCAACAACTGCTTTTCATGCATTAAGACCCCAGAGGGGAACTGCCTGGTAGTCCAATGGTTAAGACTTGATGCTTTCACTGCTGGGGTCCGAGTTCAATCCATGGTCAGAAAACTAAGATCCTACAGCTGCGTATCACAACCAGAAACTAAAAAAAAAACAAACCTCACAGAGCAAAACCAGCCTGAGCCTGCTCGTAACTTATTTTTTAGAAAAACTGCTTGTTCTTGTAGTTCAGTCGCTAGTCTTGTCCGACTCCTTGCAATCCCATGGACTGCAACACACCAGGCTTCCCTGTTCTTCATTATCTCCCAGAGTTTGCTCAAACTCATGTCCATTGATTCAGTGATGCCATCCAACCATCTCATTCTCTCATTCTCTGTTGCCCCCTTCTCCTCCTGCCCTGGATCTTTCCCAGCATCAGGGTCTTTTCCAATGAGTCGGCTCTTCACATCAGGTGGCCAGAGTATTGGAGGTTCAGCATCAACTTCCAATGAACATTCAGGGTTGATTTCCTTTAGCATTGACTTATTTGATCTCCTTATAGTCCAAGGGACTCTCAAGAGTCTTCTCCATCACCACAGTTCAAAAACACCAGTTCTTTAGTGCTCAACCTTCTTTATGGTCCAACTCTCACATTCGAACATGACTACTGAAAAACTGCTTATATTAATATCATACTCACATGACTCCCACTTTGACCCCAAACAGGAAAGTCTGGTGCAGTTACTTCTCTCCAGACAGCCAGGAGAAGATTTATGTAAGTTTCTGGTCAAGAAGTTATCAAGCCTATGCTATAAACTAGGTATACAGAGTATTTCCTAAGATATAGGACCTACTACTACAAGTTTGGGGCCAGTAGCATCAGCATCACCCAGGAGCTTGTTAGAAATGCAAATTGTCAAGTCCCACTCCAGCCTAATTATATGAGAATATCTAGACGTAGGGCCCAGCAGTTTTGTTTTTAGCAAGCTGAAGTTTTAGAAGCATTATCCTAGGTCAGTGTTTCTCATCCTCAGTTACACAGAATATTGATGCCTGAGCCCCATCCCCAGAGATTCTGGGGTGTGGCCTGGCCTTTGCCATTTTTAAAAGCTTACTTTTTGATTCTAATATGCAACCAGGATTGAGAACCCAGCTCTGTCATTTTCCTACAGTACCCTGGTTAGGTCCCTCACCCCTTCCCCCAGGCAGTCGGTGTAAATAAACTAGGCGAGCAGCTGCACCCATTTTCTGCACCCAGGAATTCAAGTGGAGTTTCCAGCTGATCGAAGCATCATTTGATGTTCCCAAGGAGCAGATTCCACAATCAGCTCCACCACGCTTTGGCCCTGACCCAGTTTATCTCAACAAAGGAGGAAAGAGGAGCCCTTGTTCTCAGCATCCAAATAGCATCTGGGGCACATGAAGCCAGCAGCCTGGAAAGATCAAAACAGGCAGAACTGTGCATTTTTTGTGTGTGAAGAAAAATATGCAAAATTAGGAGTGCTTTCCAACTTCTGGAAACAGGTTTTTTTGGTTTGTTTGCTTTTGTTTTTAATATGGCATTTCCTTTTCAGGCCTCAAAGTACACAGCAATGCTGTGTCAAAGAAAAACAAAAACGCACACACCAGCAATCTAAAAACTGGATCAGAAAAACAAGTAGGAGTAAGGGTAAAATTAGGCCTATAATTAATGGTGATGGTTTGTGTGTGACATCCAAGAGCAGGTTCTTTGTACAAGGAAGAACAGGAAAAAGAACTGGTCTTAATTACAATACAACCCTGCCCAGGAAAAGGCCTGTATTTGCTCACCTCCTAAGGTGGCTGGTGGCCAACTTTATGGTATTATGTTAGCAAATCTGGAGTTGGATTTGGAACCTGGGAGCAAAGAGGACTTCATTATTTCTTAGCTCTTTAGTGTCCAGACATCCAATATACCAACCACCCCGCTCCCCAAGAAACTGGCGAGGAAGTAAAGCAGACCTGTGGGGTTCCCGGGGTTGATGATGCACAGCACCTTGGGGTTACAGTGCTCTTTGGCCTGCTGCAGGGCCCGCCGGAGCTCGTTCACATTCAGAGCCCAGCAGTTGTCCTCATCCAGGTAATAGTTCACCTGGATGGCATCGAGTTCGGAGATGACCGCTGAGTAGAGGGGGTACTGTGGGATGGGGATCATCACGCCTGTCCGTGACTTGCCACCCCCGGAGACCAGGATCTTCAGGATTGTCTGCAACAGAGAAGTCACGTCTTACAGGGCCATTACCACTTCCCACCCCCGGGGGCTGAACAGCGGCAGAAGCCGGAAGACCCCAAACCCCGCCTTTCACCAGTCACCCAGTGCCTGCCTCCAGCGCAGCCCCATGTAGGCTTCTGAACTCCCCTGAGTCTACCTCTCCTCATCTGTAAAATGAGGTTTGCTATGAGAAATAGGCAAAATGTTTTAAAGTTTTTAGCACAATGCATGGTACCTAAAGACTTTATACTTGTATTTTTTAAAGAGATCTTTTAAAGAAGTAGCCCACCAACTAGGCCTGTCTCAGAATTATTCTGACCTCACCCCTGAAACCCATTCTATATGTCTGGGGTGGAGCCCGGAATCTGTCTGGTCACTAACTTATCAGAGCCCAAGACTTGGAAAGACCGTGAACAAAGGTGTGTGAAAATGGGATAAAATACCCAGTTTCTGCCACCAGGTGGCGTATCAACCTGGCTGTTTCCAAAATTGAATGGGCCCTAAGTTCATAGGATTCCTGAGAAATCAGGCCTGGGGAGTACTGTGGGGCATTAGAGGAGGTGGCAATAATTCACTGAATTAATAAGCCCAAACTCTTCTGGGTGAGTTTTACTCTTCTAAGTCTTACATGAAGACTTAGCTCCTTTCTCAGGCTCAGTTCCTTGCTACAACAATGCCAATGTAATGGCCTGATTCTTTTCACTAAATCTTAAAGACTTCCCCACACCCGCCTCTGTAACCCTTATCCATACCTGGGCTTCTCTGGGAATAGAGAGGCGCCATGATGGCAGAATACAGTGGAAGATGCTGTGGCTGGGGTCCTGAGTCCAACACTAGAATCTCCAATGCCTCGAGAGGCTCTTAACAGCACGCAGGCCACCTAAGGTCTCTGGGCCTCCGTTTCCTCCCGGGCTCAAGAAAAAGTTTAATGCACCTGAGAGGCTTCAGCAAAGGATTAAATCATTTAATAAACATCCAAAACAAGAGCCTTGGAGGTCAAGAGACACAGACAAACATAACTTATTAAGAAAGGCCCGAAAGGACAAGCCCCCCCGAGTAGGGAGGACAGGTGAGCAGACGGCCCCCAGCACTGACTGGGTGCGTGGGGGAGGGTGCTGGAAGGGAACAGAGGCTACAGGTGAACCTGAGACCCCAGGTTCAGCCCCTTCTCCTACGGACCCCTTGATACCAGCCCCTCTTCACCTCATCCACAGCTGATGCCCAGCCCAAGCCGCCTCTTCTCTTGTCTCCTAAACACTCTCACATCTATTATGCTCTCTTCTGCCACAGTTAAAGCTTAAGAACCTAAATCTAATTATGAGCCTCCATCTGCTTCAGATCCTTCAGTGGTTCCCACGGCTCTCAGGACAATACTTCAGAACTCAGGCTGCACCTGCCTCCTAGCAGGTTGCTGGTAACTGCCCCTCCCCATTGTGTTTGCCCTTGCAACGCTCCATTTCCAAACATGCAGCCTCCTTCCAGCTTAAGGCCTCGGCGTATGTTGACCTTCTGCCCTGAATCTGTCCCTCTCCTGCCTCCCTGAGTTCACATCTACGCAGTCTCCAGATCTCTATCTGCTCAGCCCTCCTTGGAGAAACCTTCCTGCCCTCACTAGCCCCAGGTCAGAGTTCCTGCTGCTCCCTTCTGTTAACACTTTGCCCTCATCCAGAAGAGAAACTGAAAGCTCGTGATCTGACATATATTTATGTGCTGTTAGTGCTAGTCCGATCCAGTACTGATGTCTAAGCAGAGACCAAATGTGTCTGGTTCCCCACGATCTCTCCAGCACCTGGCATAGTGCCTGGCAGAGGAGAGACACCGTATGTGCTGAGTAAGAGAAAGGCTGATGATGCCAGAAAGATGGACATCCTCCAGTGCCCCGTGACTCCTCCCAGCTAGAGGAGGGAAACTGAGGCTGCAGGAGTGTCCAGGTTCACAAAGACTGAATGTGGTAAGGACCACAGGCTACCAGGCTGGGGCAGACAGCAGGGAGCAGAGGGTGGCCAACCTCTCTGCCCAGGCCTGTCCCCCTTTAACAGCCCACAGGCTCATGCATCGGCCCTAATGTGCAAGGCTGTTCTTGGTGTGGGTGAACAGTGAACAACAACGAGCCGCTCTGACACGTACAGAAATGCCGTCACTAGCTCCAGTGGTCAGGTAAATGTTATCCGGGTCTGCAGGCACACCGCCATCTCTCCTGGTGATGTAGGCAGCTACATCTTCACGGATACAGTTGACGCCCTGGCTAGCACTGTAAGACCCTGTAAGACAGCAAGCAAGACAGTGACTAGAAGGAAGATCTGGCTCCATACAGTCTGAGATATCCATATAATTAACTGCAGGTGGGAGGGTGGGGGAGGTCAAGGAGTCTCAGTGGTGCCCTATTCCCACTGCTCTAGGTTCTGGAATTGTGGCAAACTGCTTAACCACCTATCTGGGCTTTATCCACTCATCCTGTTATCCATCCACCTACCCAAGTGTCTGCCCACTCACCCAACCATTCGCTCATCTGCTATCCATCCATATCCATCCATTCATCCATATATCCACTCACCTGCCCACCTACTCACCCACCCATCTGCCCTTCTGTTCATCTACCCACCCACCCACTCATCCATTCAGTATTTACCGAGAACCTACTTATATCTCAAGCATTATTCCAGGCCCTGACTTCTAACCAGTTAACTGGTGCTCATACCTGCTTTACCCACCCTACTGGGATTTACACACCTTCCACGACAGTACAGACCATTACAGTTGGGACTGCTATGCTTTTATCACTGTTGCCTACACACGGTTCCAAAGAACTTGAGAGAAAGGTCACCCCAAAATGGCACCATCTGCCATCCCAGGAATCCAGAGCCCTGACAGGCACTAACCACAGGTTCTTGGGGGCTGCTGGGCAAGATGCACCTACCCCTGCCCTATGGCAACAGCATGCTCAGACCGCCAGTTAGGAGCCAAATCCAAACCACCAGTTAAAAGTGAAGTTCAAAAACAGTGGTGACCACTTTGGGCTTGGGAGTATTTTCGGCAAAGGGGCACACAGGAGCCTTTTGTGGTGCCGAGAGTTCATTCTCATGATCTGGGCACGGGTTACACAGGTGCGCACACACAGGCGCTGTACATTAATATCTGTGCATTTACCGTGGGCATGAAAGTGTTTTCAGTATGTTAGGCTACTACTTACATTTTTTAAAAGAAACTGAAAATAGGTACCTGCACATGCACAAAATTTCTCTGGAAGAAGACTCAAACTGGCCAGGTGAATTCTCTGGGGACGGGAACCAGGCGGCTTGGGGTCAGAAGTGGGAGGCAGATCTTTCACTCTATATTCTTTTATCCCATTTGAGTTCTATACCACATTTAAAGAAAACCAGCCAATTTCCTTCCAAGGACTGCAACAGCACCACCAGGAGGCGCTGGGATTAAGGGTCTGTGCAGCACGGGGCTGGCCTATCCCCTGGGACTAGTTGTAACTGGGGCAGGGGAAGCTACACCACTTCTTTAAAAGTTCAGGTGGCAAACATTAACACACAGCAAATCTGGGTGGAGAGTACAGAGTCCTGTCACGTTCTTTGGCGGGTACTCGAGGGCACTTGCAGATGCCACTGTTAGAGAATCCTCCTTCCGCTGGATGTCCTACTTGATATTTCCTGGGCTCCCGTGCCCAGAAAGCTTCCTGTGCTATTTCCCTCTGCTCTTTCACTGCCCTCTGCTCTACTCCATGCGGCCTGGCCATCTCCACACCAGCTAAGCCTCCTCGTCTTCCTGCCTCTAGTTCATCTGCTTCCCTGAATTCCCAAGCCTTTCCCCACTAGCAAACTCTCTGTTCCTGCCGGCCTCAGACTTTCCATCTGTTTTGTTCTGAAGTACCCTGATTCTTCAGAGCTCAGATCTAGACTCTGAAGAAGTCTGAGAAATGGCCTCACCCCAGCCTTTCTGATTTCTCCTGTGACTTTGCACAGTTGAATCCTTGCCTCCCCATGTTGATTTGTGGGCAGGAACCATCACCTATTTCTTCTGTGCATCTCTGCAGCACCCACCCGTAGCTAGGCCCGCCCCACCACACTCCTGTGTAGGACATTCTGCCCTGAAACCAATGGCAACCTGCCTCCCACAATCCACAGACTGGCGACATCTGCCAAATCACCCAGCGTCATCGCATGCAAACCCTTTCACTCAGTCACACTCAGTTCTTAAACCTCAGGGCCTTTGCACACACCATTTTCTCTGTCTGGTGTTCATTAGCAGATTCTCTTACTCGTTCTCCTTAAACCCTCCCTCTCCATTAGAATCCCTTGTTAAAAGGGATTGTTCACCAGGAACTCATGAAAACTGGGAATTATGTTTTTGTGTTAATTCTTTTTAATGTTTGTTTCTCCCAAATATGACCGTGAGCTTCATGAGCACAGAAACTCCACCTGCCTTGCTCCCCAGTGTCCCTCAGGGCCTAGAGCCCACAGCCCAGGCCCCCAGAGGGGCTGGAGGCGGGCGTTCTCTCCCATTTCCCACCACCCCAGGTGTATCTAGGTTTCACCTCAACCCCACTCAAGATTCAGGATGCAACCCGAGAACTGATTACTCACACAAAAAATAAATGCAGCCCCAATAAAAAATAATTTTAAAGGGCATGATAAAAACACGTTCAGGTGAGCCCTTGGGTACACACTTTATAACCCTTTCTTGGGTCAGGGTGGCCCTGGGCGTATCTTCCATTTCCTTCATTTTTGTGGGCAGTGCTCAGGCTGCCCAAGCCTTAGTTGACAGAGCGCCACCCCCATTGTTCGACTCTCTGCTGGAACACTGCCCTTCCTCGCACAGCAGGTAGTGACCTCCAGGGTGGGGCTTCTCCACACCTGAAGCACAAACAGCAACTTGCCTGCAAGGCCAGGAGGCGGGTACAAAGTATCTCCTAGTTCAAGGATGAGGAAAGAGGCTCAGAGAGCACTTCCCTCACCCATCCTGCTGAGCTCCTCAGTCAGAGCTCAGACAGTCCTGACTCACATGGACATGGCCTCCCAACATCATTCCCCCAGCCCTGCCTGGTTGACACAGAAAAAACTTGTTGATGAGGCCTGTCCCTAGAACAAGATCCCTTCCCAGTTCCCCAAACATGCACGCAGACAGCAACCCCTCCCCCCAGCCCTGGGTTGCGCTTCCTGGAGCCTCAGGCCCATGGCCCGGATCTTTGAGAAGCGCCTTTGTCCTCTGGGCCGGGCAGAGGGTACAGAGGGAAAGAGCCTGGAGGCCGGGCTTCTGAGCTGCTGCGCTGACCTCTGCCAGCCTGTGGTTTAGGCCTTGCCTCACAAGGTGCTGGCCCACACCCCACCCAGGCTGACTGGCAGGGAAGCAAAGGGCAGCTGGCCCCTTCCTGAGAGGGACAGCGTGAAGGACACAGGCTTGGACGGAGGGCTAGTGGGGTGATCACAGCCAGGAAGGTTAAGCCTAGTGATGTCCATAAAGGGACAGAGCAGAAAGGGGGAGGGGAAAGGCGGGGGGGTGACCGAGAGGCCAAGGGCAGCTGATACCCTGCTGAACGAGCCACAGGAATCCCTGCCCCATGTTTTGGAACATTCAGGCAAGCTTCCTAAAAAGCCCTATGGGCAACGACTTCTCCTCTGAACAAGGGGAGCCGCATTCCCTATGTATTCCGCCGGGCAGAGGAATGAGGCACAAATAAACAGGAAAGAGAATACGAGATGACAGCAAAGAGCCAGCGGCCCAGAGGCTGGAAATCCACCTCAGCAGGGGAGGGAGAGAAGACGCCTTCACGTCACAGGGCCTCCCCCCTCAGAGCTCCCCGGGGCCGGGCGTGGGCTCCGGACACAAAGGAGCGCACGCCCGGTGTCAGGAACACACCACACACGTGGTGGCTAAGGGGGGGCCACCTTCACAGCCAGGAAGCCACCAAAGGGGGCCACAGGCACCCCACGGCTGGCCACAGCAGAGTGAGAAGCCGGACCAACTGGGCAATGTACCTCCTTCTGGCTTCCCGGCTCAAGCTCAGCCTTCTGCTCTGAGGGTGCAGTGGGCTCAGCGTTACAGCCGGCTCCCCCTGTAAACCCCAAATCCAGCTAAATGCAGACTCTCGCGCCTGAAGTGCCCCCAATCCACCAAGAGCCAGCACTGACCCCATCAGCTTGGCAAACACGAGGCTCACAGAACACGGACAAGGAGAGTATTTTTCCTTGACTCGGCCTGTCGGCCACCTCACACACATTCACACACTCGCTCAACACATAACCCTCCATCAGGGGCCGGGGCCAGGCCCATGCTGAGAACACACATTCTTCTCATGCCCGCCGGGACCTGGCAAGTCGGGGCCTCACCCAGGCTGTTCCCGCCGCAAGCCTGTAGGATCCGCCGGGCTCGTTTCTTTGCATCTTCTGGGAAGCTGGGGCTGTCCAACAGGTTCGGGTAGGTGCACAATGCCATCACCTGGGGGAACAGTGGCATGGGCTGGGCTCCCCGCACCTCCCACCCCAGAGGGGCGCAAAGGATGCCTCTGAGGGACAGTGTCCCCGCAGGACTCTCCACGAGGGCCCCCGCCTGTGGGGAGGGTCTGGGGACAGGTGGGGAGGAGGACAGTGGACGCTCTGCAGCGGAAGGGAGACGGTGAGAGGCAGGGTCCCTGATGACCTGGGCTCGGGCCAAGGGTGGGCCACCAGAGGAGCCAGGGAACAAAACGAGGCTGCTACTCGGCCCACCTCCTCCATAAAGGCCAGCAGCTCACATAGCCAAAGCCATAGAACCCGGGGTTCCAGAGCAGGAAGCTGGGACTGAGCAGGCAGGTGCACCCCAGCTGACAGGACTGCAGAGACCCCCTCCTTACGGCTTGAGTGCCCCCCAAGCCCCACCCCTACCCCTCCACACCATCACCCCCTTTCCTGGCCAGAAGTGAAAACCGAGTCAGCTTTTTCACCTCTGTAACAGAGAAAATCACTCTAACCTCACAAATTAAGAGGATTACGCAAGGAAATGTTTGCAAAAGTGTCAGTAAACCCCTGCTCAGCAGGCAAGTCTAAGCTGGAAGCTTAGGAGCAGTGCCAGGAGCAATGAGATGGGCTGGGGCTCACAGCTCTGACACCAGCTGGGGGCTTCGGGCGGGCTCAGGCTTCTTGGAGCCTGGCTTTGCCTCAAATAAATGTGTGCAATGGGCGGTGACCTGGCTTGCCCTCCTGCTCTGGGGCGCTTATGAAGGCTGGGGGAAGCCAGCACCAGGTGGCAGAGGCTGGGTCTGCTGTGGCCAGCAACAGGGCTGGATCTGGGAGTGTGCCTACCAGTCAGAAAAGGCTGAGGCAACAGGAGCCTGTTCACACCCAGAGCCCCAGGCACGTGTGGAGAGCCGGTGCAGAGCGAGGCCACTTTGGGCCTCTCCTCTCCTAAGCTCCGTGCTTCCAGAACGAGCTTTCAGGACAAGCAGGATGCTCTAATCTCCTCCCACCTCCACCTCCTGGGCAGAACCACTCTGTCTGGTCTGATCCACTTCCTCATCATGGGCCCAGCTTGAGGCCTCTGACACTCATAGGCAGCCGGCACACTCCTGAGTCAGCAGCAATGCCACGGGAATTCAGTGGACGTTTCTGAGGTCATCGCCAGCCCCAGTTCTTCTCCCCTACACCCTGTGTGAATTTCTTGAGGGGCTGTAGGCTGAGGCCCTGGGGCCCCCAACACCTGCCATCCAGAGAGCGGGGCAAAGTTTGCCGCTCCTGTGTGCCAGCTCCTGCAGCAGGAAATACCGGCAGGAAAGGAAGACCGGGGGCGTGCAGCACTCAGCTTTCCTGCCTGCCTCAGCCTACGAACCTTAACCACACAGAGACCACCTTTTGCTCCAGAATGGGCCCCATTTCTTCTCTAGGAAAACGCTTTCCGCACAGCTGGTCTCTAGCCTCCATCTAGCAGATGCTATGGCACTCTCTCACCTTTTCTTTTCTCACAAGCCCACCAATCTCACAAGCTGGTCCCCTGCAGCATCCTTGCAGTTGGCACTCAAACTGAAACATGGAAATGTGCCTCAAAGGCCTTCATGTTCATCATCTCACGGAGGCCCCCAGAAGTCCTCTGTGGCAGTGCTCTGGAGACTTCCACTTGCCCAAAGCCACCTAGCTGATCAGCAACAGAGCCAACACTCAAACCTGGGGATTCTCACTTGGGAAACCATATCTAGACTCCCACACACCACCTCCCAGCCTTCATGTCTCCCTTCTACTCTCTGATGCCCTCACCAACCCGGGTCCGAATTCAACATCCAGGACCATTCACCTGGGAGTCTTGTATATTACAGTTACCTCAAAATGGGCTTAGGGATTTTAGACAGCCTTGGAAGGAAGAGGAGGAGCCTGCTGGAGAGAACCAGAGGGGACGTCAGGCGCTGGAGGGGGTTTCTACTTCAGTGGCATCTCCCTGTGGGATTCTAGGGCCTGCTGGGTCTTGAGGGGCTGGACAGGCAAGGAGGCAGAGGTAATTTAATGGGCTTGGCTGTCGGGTTGGCTCCCTGCTCTCCCAGTGGCCTCGGTTCCTGAGGGCCAGCTCACCTGTCGGAGGAAGGTGATTGGCTGCTGGCCCATGGCTTGGGCATCCCCGATGTTGGCACGGATGACCTCAGTGAATGGTTTTTTGATACCCTGAGTAGAAAGAACGCAATAGGTGGTTACTTAGGGATTCTCAGACCCTAGATTTCAGAAGCCAAGCAATGGTCAACAGGATATTAGTAAGTAGCCCTATTTTGAGCCTTGCCAGGTGCCAAGCGCTTGATATGCTTGGTCCCATTTGACCTTCACAACCACCCCCATGAGGAAGGACTTGTGTTAATCCCATTTTATAGATTGGGAAATTAAGGCTTCAAAAGGTTACCCACTTTCTGGGAAGGCTAGAAGAACTTCCCTGGGCTGCCAGGGAACCCTGAGGCAGCTGTAGGTCCACGCTGACCCCGGGGCAAATGTAGTGGGAAGGAGGGACGGGGTCAGCTGCAGGAAGCATCAGGGAGAGGGTCCCGCAGCTGCCAGCTCCACCTCCACCCCTAAGTGAGTGAGGGGACACTGCAGCCAGCCTTCCTGCCAGAAGACGCCGATCCGCAGGGACCTCTTGGGGGCTGTTCTCTTGCAACTCTGTCTTTGCAAAATGAAGAATGTGGACTGAGCTTCATATTGAAAAAAAAAAAGCATCAGGGATAAAAATGTCTGGTTGAAGAGCAAAAGTGAGGCCACTGACTGAGCAATGTGTTTAGCACGGAGCAGAGATGGCAGAGAGAGAAGGAACTCGGAAACCGTAGCAACAATATCACTGAGCAGTGACTACAGGACACCCTGGCTGCTGCAAAGGAGAAAATGTGGTTCAGATGGAAAACTGTGGGGGTCTGGAAATGTGGGAACTCCACCCAGTTCCCTGATAAATCCAGAATTAGCCACTACAAGAGAGAATCAACAGAAGGTTCAAGAACCTCCCAGAGCAGCTGAAAGGATTATCTGAGACAAACAGTATGAAAGCACTTGGCAGAATACAAATATCATCATGTTACAAAGCTGGACCAGGAGCAAGATTGCAAGGGTCACCGCGGGAGAAGAAGGTGGTGGGGCAAGGGGTGGCCTGCGCGGAATGGCCACCTTCCCATCTCCAGCTGCCCTGTTCCCAAAGGCATCCTAAATACAAGTTTTAAAGGTACAATTCTATGATTTTGATACTTGTCTTCTCCGTTTCACACAATGTGTGAATAAAAGCAACTTTAGAAAACTTTCCCTTTTTAAACTCAGTAATATACACCTTAAGTAAAGACCAGTGGGCTTAAGGAATGAAAGCAGCTGCCAAACAAGTTTTCTTGACTCTCATTTGCCAGCCCTAAGCCCCTCCCATATGGAAATTCTCTGGCTGCCTTAGGAGCCAGGAGGCACAAGGGGCTGAGGGCGCCCCAGAAACAGCCCTGTGCTTAGTCGCTCAGTCGTGTCCAACCCTTTGCAACCCTATGGACTGTAGCTTACCAGGCTCCTCTGTCCATGGGGATTCTCGAGGCAAGAATACTGGAGTGGGTTGCCATGCCCTCCTCCAGGAGATCGTCCCAATCCAGGGATTGAACCCACATCTCCCACATTGCAGGCAGATTCTTTACCCTCTGAGCACCAGGGAAGCCTGGAGGCAGCCCTGGACTTCCATAAACCGGGCCTGATGAGTCGAAAAGTTCTGTTTGGGGTGGAGGGGGTAGAATTCTCTTCTTCCCTTTTTACCAAGTTCTTCATGGCTGGCCAATATGGAAAGACATCTTGGGGTGGGGGTGGGGGGCAAGGAAGGGGATAAGACCGCCTACGGGCCAGGACTGGGGCAGGGGTGAAGACAGACACCCTGGGGACAGGCTGTGGGGTGTGTGGCCTCAGGGCTCAGCCCACAGGCTGAGCAACCCAGGCCACTGTGTGCAAAGGACAGGACTCACCCACCCACACTGGCCTAGGCTCCTGGCGCGGGACCCTCTGCTAAGGGTCCATGGCCCCTGAGGCCTGGCCAGCTGAACTCAGGTGATTTCCATGGTGTGGGCACAGCCCACTCTTCAGTGGGGAGTAAATCTGTCCCCGAGGGCAGGACATACAGCACACAGCTGGGCCCTGGGCCAGCCCCATGGAGGGAGAAAATAATGCCTGGAACAGATCCCTGATGTTCCTTTCCTGTGTCCCCCCGCCCCCCCACCCACCCTGCACTGCTCAATAAACTCGGGGAACGCCAACAAGCAGCCTGGGAGTATGGAGCACCTCCTTTCTTGGGTCTGGGTACCCACAGGCTCCAGATACTTTGCTATGATGGATGAGCTAGTGGGTGGGAAACTGCCTCCTCTGAATGGACAGGGGACCAGGCTGCCCAGCCAAGGGTCACTATACAAAGGAGACTCCTGTATCTATGCACTTGAGTTCTATGTGGGTTGGGAAATACCAAGGAGCCAGGGGCAGACTTCTGCCCACAGTGACTCATCCATGTCTGGCAAGCACACCCAGTGGAGACCTCACCTCAGCCCTGCCCACAGGAGCCTGCCAGGTCAGCACGTAGCTTCTTAGTTCCAATTCCTAGCATCCTAGAGCCCACGTGTCTAACTCATCTGCCCAGAGCTGCCTCACCGGGGGGCACTGAGATCCATCGCAGGGGGGCTCCCTTCCCACTATTCAGGAAGGCTCAGGGAGCAGGCCCCCAGGCTCTGGAGATGGCATATTTCAGGGGGTGTTACTGGGAAGTAGGATAAAGGAAGGACAATGATAACTCTTTATCATTGTTATCACTGTCCTTTCCAGTTCACAGGTGCAGCATTAGAACAATGGACAATTCTAACAGGCACAGGCATTTTCCTCAAGGTAGGGGTGGCTCCTGTCATTTCATGTGACATGCCAGTGGGAAGGCTTGGTAGGATGTTTATTCCCCAGAGAACCTCCGTTTCATTCATGAACACTTATGAATCATGCTCTGTGACAGAAATGGGCACCACCAGAGAGGCCACCACCTTCAGAGCGCTGGCTGATTCAGGACCAGTGAGCAGCACTGGGGCAGGCATGAAGACCCCCCAGAGAGCTCCAGAAGGAAGTCTCAGAGACAAACCCGACTAGTCTCCAGGGTCCCTAAAAACAGCTGTGCTGCATAGCAGAAGAAACAGACTTAGCACAGGGTCTGGCCCCAACCATTGTGATAAGCAAACGTGGAAGCAAAACTGAGCCAAACCTACACAGGCCTGAGATTAAGAGGAGGTGGGAACTCCAGGGGCTGAATTTTCTAACCATGAAAGAAGGGAAGGCTGGACAAGAGGCTCCTGAACTGCGGGAGTCTGTGAGAGGGTCAACTGTAGAAGCGGAGAGTTGCAGGGCAGAGCAGGGATGAAAGGTGAATGAGCTCCAAACAGGATAATTCAAGGCAGCAAGCCTAAGTTCCAGGCAGGAGAGCGCCAACCCCATAGAGCGCATTCCTAGACCCAGAGACTCAGAAGGAAGGCCAGGAAAGAGGGACCCTCGGCCCCTCTCCCCCAAGCAACTCTCGTTAGCTTGAAAACAAGACCCTTAAGAGTTCTGATTGGGAAATTCCCCGGTGGTGCAGTGGTTGGGACTCCACGCATTCACTGCTGAGGGCATGAGTTCAGTCCCTGATTGGGAACTAAGATCCTGCAAACAATGCAGCACAAGCCAAAAAAAAAAAGAGCAAAACTAGCCTTTGCTTTCTCATAAAGTTATTTTAGAAAAACTGCTTATATTCATATAAACTCACATAACCTTTTGACCTAAAAGAGGAAAGTCTCTGGTGCAGTTATTTCTCCCCAGACAGCCAGAATTCTGATAGGGTTCTAGCTATTCAAACCATCGTCACTAAACAGCTCCAACTAGTCTTCAGTGGAAATAAATTGGCCCTACTTTACAGAGGAGTAATTGAGGCCAAGGTGCTCTGAACGACATGAGGCCCACAGCACATAAAGGCAAGGATGCAGGTCCCTGGTGACTTGGGCAGGTGGGTGGGTGGAGGGTTCATCCAAACGGAAGCCTGTGTTACAAATTTCTCTTATTTTAAACTAGCGTCTAAGCTCTAAAGAAAATGGCCTATGAGATTTTACTGCTTGTGCCTTGCACATCCAGAGTTTCCATTCTTAGTTCTTAGCTAACTATCAGCAGGTGCTCCAGCATTCTCCATTTTCATCTGTTTCTAGGTGCAGCACTCATTGATTTTAACATAGTCAGTGTTTCCCTTCATGAGTGTTTTGCCCTGACACTGTGTACTTTTTACAAACAAAAGCCATTTCTGTCTCCACTTATATCAACCTCCTTCCCTCCTCCAATAAAACGAGGGAAAAAGAAGTAGGTTGAGGAGGAACTGACAGATCTTTTCAAAACTCCTACTACAGGGAGTTTATTTTTAAGTGCTGCTCCCAGGGAACGCCAGGATCTGAAAAGCTGATAGGTACTCCCCCTTGGAGCTGCTGTCGGGGAGAAACAGGGCCTCCCTGAAAGCACATAGACCAGGCTGGCAGAGAATGGCCCCTTTCACACGCTCTTAGCCAAGTGCCCCTCCTCCTTCAGGCTCTCCTGAGCGTTTCCCCCACTCCTGCCACAAAGCAAGATGGACAGGACTTGTCTGGCATGCCACCCCACAGTCGAAAACCAGGGCCACGGGTCCAGCCAAACAGCCGGGTACTGTTAACAGAGCACCTGGTAAAGTGATTCCATGAGGCAGTATAAGGCCTTCAGATGGACGAAGAGGCACAGAAGTCAGGGCGTGGGGAAACCCTGGGCCCACCAGACCACTACTCTTCTTTTACAGACTAGGGAAACCAAAGCCCAAAGAGGACAAGAGATTTACCCCCAAGTCACTCAACTCCCTACAAATCCCATCTCTAACCAAATCGAGCCCTTTAAAATAACACCAGTCCAGTTGCGATCATTTGAGTTCAAAACAGAAGTAAAAACCTGAAACTGTGCAAAGCTAAGCCAAAAAAAAAAAGAATGAGAAATCCTGAGAAAACATGGCTTTCTCAGAAGAGGACCTGCTTAAGCTAGCAAAATGGAGAGGCTGTTTCTCAAGAATGAAAGATTTAAGCGAGGCTATGCTGTCTTGGCTGGGGCTATTATCTCCAGCAGCAAGAGTCAGGCAGCTGAGACTCAAGGAAGTGAGGAGAGAACAAGAAGGGATGAATTTGAACTGGAGAATGTAGATGGACAGAAAGAATGTCGCAAGTTATTCGGGGTAGGACAAGGCAGTGGGGCCATCACAGCGTGTTTCCAGCCCAAATGACCAAGAAATTTCTCTAGTTCAATGATGAAACCATACACTGTTGGAACACCTTCTTAGTTCCCCACTGCACACCAAACTTAGCGCTATAAAGTCCTAAGCCCAGCACACCAGCCTCCAGTTCCTTATTTCCACTGCATTCATTTACCACATCCCTCTGCCAGTCAGTGCTCTCCAAACAGCACCAAACCCCTCCCCTATTTGCCCAGAACTTCCCAACCTTGTTTTCGCTCCCAGCCCTCCTTCCACCTAGAATGCTCTCACATTTTCTCTATCTGCTAAATAATAATAATAATAATAACCTCCAAGCCTTAAAGAATTGGAGGAAGAGAAGGCCAGGCGCAGAGAACAACATGGCAATCAGTTCTGTGAAGGCAAAGACACTGTTTCCCTTCTCTTCTAACCATCCTCATACTCCATGGAGTCCATGCTATTTAACAAGAGGTAGAGATAATCCCTGGAACCCCTACCAGCTCTGGAACCAGAGAAATCAGTTGTAAAGTGCTCAACCGGAAACAATTTAATCTCAGCTTTAACAGGGAGACTGTTGTCTCAAGGAGGGCCAGCTCCAGTCTGCCAGATATCAACAAGGAGCAGAACAGCAAAAATCTCTTTTCTGCCTGTGGTCCACTTTTGGGACAAGGAGGCACAGCAACCAAGCCAGGCTTTCGAGGACCAAGCTTTAAACTTAGCCTTGCAAGGAGTCAAAGGGAGACACTGGACTCTGACTTGTTCAACTCACTGTTTTGAGTCAGCAGAACTGGGTGTCCCAGTGAAGTCTCAGCAAGCGTGAGCTCATCAAACGCCCCAAAGTGCCCAAGTTACAGTCATGGTCCCATCATGGCTTCTTCCCGAGGATTCAAGGACCATTAAGTGACCAACTCACCACCAGGACATTCAGTTCTGGTGCCTATGAGAGTGAGATCAAAGAACCTTCCCCCCTTCTAGGTTAGGGCTACCTTGAGCAAACAGCTGGGTGACTACTTCATCTGCTCCTATAAATCTTAGGAATGTATACATTTTTTATATTACCCTTCTGGACTTTGCCTCCTGAATTCCACCAGGGTTAGAACTCTGATAGTTTCTTTCATCCACCCCAGCCACCCTCCTTGTAGGGGGGACAGGAATCACAACCAGATGTGTGGTCACTTTACACACAGCTGTGAACTCAAAATCCTAGTCTGCCGGCCGCCAGGAGGAAAAAAATCCCAGGGTCACCCTGCCAAGGCCCCAAAGGCCCAAGCCTCTGCTACCCACTGTGGGTGACTGTATCCTCAGGACAAAACAGGGCTGTCAGTCAAGGTCCCAAAGGGGACCTAAGGGAAGGAATCGTGCAGTACCACTTTTGTCAGGGAATCATTACTGGAAGAAAGACCCAGAAGTTCCGAGAGAGAGAGAAAGCTTCGGGAGAACACCCAAGTCTCTTCCGAGCCTTCATCGTACCTCTGGTACTTAACGTGATCTCTGAAATTCTCCTTTCTTTCCTTCCTGCCTGTTGGGTCCTCACCCTCACCCCCCAGTGGATCTTGGTTCCACGCAAGTAGGACAGCCACATAGCAGGCAGTGCCTGGCGCTAAGGGCAGCTCAATTATAATTGATGAATTCAATTCAACAAGTGAACCATATCTGAGGGCCTTACTTTGTGCCAGGTGCCGGGCACTAGTGAGGGAAGGGTTGGGGGGAGGGCATTCTCCCGTTTCAGTCAAGACTGGCCGAATGAAGGAGCTTGGCCACGCGGCTGGAGGAAGTACAGCGTTTGGACCCCAGGAGGCGACAGCTGCTACTCTCTCCCTCCTGCCCCCACCAGTGCCCCTTGGCCTCCCGGGGCCCTCCCGCCCCCCGCGGGCCCGGGCGCCCGCGCTCACCCGCTGCAGCTCGAGCTCGATCTCGCCGGCCTTGAGCACGATAGGTCCCCGCACCGCGTACTCCACCGCCTTCACCTGCGGGTTCATGGACTCGAGCGTAAGGATGCGCTCGCGCCGGCTCCGCTCGGGCCGCACTTTGAGCACCGCCGAGGCCTCGGCGGCCGCGCTGCTCTGACTACGGCCCCAGGGGCCGAGGGTCCGGGGGCAGCAGCCCCGCCGGACCAGCGCCGCCGCCCGCTGCATCGCGCGGCCGCCGAGAGAAACCTTGGGACAAATAGGGAAAGAGAACAAACACGTCGCGCACAGCCCAAGGCAGGCATGCGGGCACCCGCCCCCAAGCTCAGCCAAAGGCTCCTTCAGCGAGTGGTGCCAGCCTGGCTTCGGGGACGGGTGCCCATCCCCCGGCGACTCGAACCCTGCACCTCGCCTCTGCAGAGCCAAAGCGCTGCACAACCGGGTTTTGCAATGGCTGAGCCCAATGCATGCATGCAACGTGCCTGTCGCCTCCTGGTCCCCCTTCGTCGAGTCCGGCTAGAAAGCTCGCCTAGAGCAGCTCCTCGGCTCAAGCGCCGGCAACCGCATCCCAGCTCCCACACGCAGCACCGGGCCCCCAGCGCTCACACACCCACAGCCCGCGAGTCCGCCCGGGCCTGCCCGCTGGCTCCTGGGCCTTGTAGTTCCCTTGTCGTTTTTCAGAACAGGTGTGGCGAACTGGTTGAACTACAAGTCCCATAGTACGCCGCGCTGGCCTGATCTGGGGGCCGGGCTGGAGGCGGGAGCGAGGGCCTGACTCTGCCGTGGGCTGGGCGGGCTCTTTGTCTGGCTGAAGGGTTGGGGATCCCGGAGAGGGTCTGGCCGGGTCTCTCCTCGCAGCTTTCTGCGAATTTAGAGCGATTTGGTGCTTCTCCCTGGAAGCGCGTCGTGCATTCCCCCACACAACCCTTTCCCCAACATCTGCAAGGACATAGGCGGAGAGATGGTGCAGTCCTCGCCCCAAGTTTCATCATCCAGTCTTCGACGGTGGCAAGTGGCCGCTCAACGGGGGCTGGTAGGAAGCAGGGGTGGGGTGGGGGGTTAGGAGTTTGCGACTTGACTGCCACTTTTACCCGTCTCAACGTCAGTTTCCTTGTCAAAAGGGAGATAGCTCTCAGCCTTTAAGGGTTGTAGTGAAAATTAAAGGACCAACAGCTAGTATGTACCAGGTGGTCAGGCTTCCTGACAGCTCCATGTGAAACGCCACCCCACCTTCACTACCTCTTTTAATTTCCTCTCTAGCATCAGAAATTTAGATACTTTTTACTGGCTCCCCCGTTAACCATGTAAGCTCCAGAAGGCTGGGGCAGCGTTTTTCTTGTTCATTGTATTCACAACGTATTCACACAACGTCTGAGTGTTAGCAGCACATAGTAAGAACTCAGTAAACGTTTGTTGAAGAATGGATGTTCAGCTCTTGGTAGGTTTTTGTGTTTTTTTTTGTAGAGGTACCTGCTGTTGACTAAAAAAAGATGTACAACTTGAGAGTTGTGAGTTAGGTTTTATTTGGGGCAAAATGAGGACTGCAGCCTGTTGGGCAGCATCTCAGATGGCTCTGAGAGGTGATCCAAAGCAGCAGTGGGGGAAAGTCAATATATAAGGTTTTGGTGAAGGAGGAGTTCAATACCATGAAGCACTCAATTTACAAAAGGCTTTTTGTTAGTCATGAGGGCCTGATGTCACCATGAAGGGATTTAGTGCTTCTCTAGATATGAGGAGATGCAAGGATTGAGATGATAAAATCTGCTCCTAAAAACATCCAACTAGCTAAAAGTCCTGTCCCACCAGATTCCCTGGAGCACAGAGTGCCTCACTCCACCCTGAACTCCCGCAGGGGTTGTTGAAGGTCAGCAGCTATAGCAGCACGGGTTCAATCTCCGTAGAAGCAGATGGCAAATGCCTTGTTGTTCAGTCATTGGCAATGCTCTTGGTAAGTGTCAATTTATAGTTGGCACAGTCCCCTTGTGGTCATAAATCCGACCATACTTTGGGGGGCATTTCATAACCACTTTGTCATATTGCTGGGAAGGCTCATACCCAGTTCTGAAGAAGGTTTTTGTTGATAAGACACTCTGTGCTGTTACTGGACTAGGTCTTAATTGTCAAATATCTCTAGACACCTGTCTTCTAGTTACGGTCCAAAAAAGTATTCCCTCTTATTGCATCTTTTCATACCTAGCGTTACACTATTACAATCATTGATCATACATCGAACTGTACATTTGGTCAACTGCTTCAAGTCTAGTCATCATTTCCGTTGAAGGCTCAGTCATATACTTGGTAATACAAGAGATAATAATCTTGTGAAACAAGCAAAATACAAATGGTATAATCAATAACATTAGTGGAATTAAAAGTAAATAGTCATGAGCCTCCCACACCAGTTTTTTTTTTTTTTAAGATCGTCAAGACTAGGGAATGGATCATGTAGAGCAGAAATCTGATTTTTCATGTGGTTCAAATGTGTTACATTAAAAGATTTATCAGGTACAAAAATACAGCATTTAGTTTCAGTTATAGCACAGATATCTCTCTGAGATACTGTAAGGTGTCAAGGGTCTAGCACTTGTGTAGCACTACCTTTCTCATCATAGAGACCTCAGAATTCAATAGGCTAATAGCCTGGTTACTATCATTTAAAGCTTATGAAAGTTGTCATGGCTTCAGTTCAGTTCAGTTGCTCAGTCATGTCTGACTCTTTGCAACCTCATAAATCGCAGCACACCAGGCCTCCCTGTCCATCACCAACTCCCGGAGTTTACTCAAACTCATGTCCATCGAGTCGGTGATGCCATCCAGCCATCTCATCCTCTGTCGTCCCCTTCTCCTCCTGCCCCCAATCCCTCCCAGCATCAGGGTCTTTTCCAATGAGTCAACTCTTCGCATGAGGTGGCCAAAGTATTGGAGTTTCCGCTTCAGCATCAGTCTTTCCAATGAACACTCAGGACTGATCTCCTTTAGGATGGACTGGTTGTATATCCNTGGAACCAGTCTGTTGTTCCATGTCCAGTTCTAACTGTTGCTTCCTGACCTGCATATAGGTTTCTCAAGAGGCAGGTCAGGTGGTCTGGTATTCCCATCTCTTTCAGAATTTTCCACAGTGTATTGTGATCCACACAGTCGAAGGCTTTGGCATAGTCAATAAAGCAGAAATCGATGTTTTTCTGGAACTCACTTGCTTTTTTGATGATCCAGTGGATGTTAGCAATATGATCTCTGGTTCCTTTGCCTTTTCTAAAACCAGCTTGAACATCTAGAAGTTCACGGTTCACGTATTGCTGAAGCCTGACTTGGAGAATTTTGAGCATTACTTTTACTAGCGTGTGAGATGAGTGCAACTGTGCAGTAGTTTGAGCATTCTTTGGGATTGCCTTTCTTTGGGATTGAAATGAAAACTGTTCCAATTTTCATTGGGATGAAAATAATCACAGAAAACTAGCCAATCTGATCACACGGATCACAGCCTTGTCAAGGCTTAGATATGGTCAATTACATCCTCCAACCCCATTGAAGGCACACACACACACACACACAAGCTGCTAAATTGTCATACCAGTAGAATACAGATCTTTGACCCATTGGGATCATACCAATGGTAGATTGGTTGGGGTTACCTGTAATTTGTTAACATGTATGACCTTAAATTCAAGCTACACTTTCATATCATCCCTGTAGAGGTCAAGGCCATAAATTAATGCCACAAATCCACTGAGTTCCGTACAAATCACTCTCTCTAAGGGTAATAATAGGCATAGTTTATAAAGCATCCAGCCTTGGCCCATAATTACCAGGTTGATCATTTTTAGTATGATTTAACCATTCCCAACATTGAGGAGCCTATAAACTTAAATGACCATAGCCTGGTGTTAACCATGTAGATCCTCCACATAATTGTAGGAGTTTTCCTTTTAATAGCTGAGAAGTTAATTTTTTATTGAGACTTAGCTCATCATTCCGATTGAGTTTAAATGACCCTAAGAGAAAACTTAAATCTATGGCCAGTCTCAGAGTGGGTATTTTTAATTGGCTAGGTGAGAGGATCCCATCTAGAATTATTATGAATAGATAGAACGGGCTAAACACTCATCTAAAAGAAATTTCCTAGGGGGTATCCAGTCAGAGCCCTAAAGAAGAGAAATCTACCAAGGTAACCCAGAAGTAATAGGCACAGGTAATTGGTCACAACCCAACAATTAGATTGAGTTTTAAACTAGCATAGAATCATGTCCATGATAGAAAACATGTGATTGATAGGCATAGGTACAAGGAATCAAGAAAACATCATAAATGATCATAAAAGTCGGATTAGCATTTTGGGCAAGCTGTGTACTTCTGATGTCATCATCTTCTCATCCTAGTGTAGTGGAGTTTCCTCTGTTTGAGCATTGTTTTAAGGTGAGTTTGAGGTCAGCAGGCCTCTCTATGGACTAGTCCAACTTAGGGGCCTTTGGAAGTGGAAGTTAACTGAGAGTCAATTTCACTGGGCATGAGCTAGTTAAGAGTACCTGATGGAAAGGTCCTTCCATCCAGGTTGGAGACAGTTGCTTAAATTATGTCTTCTTCCAGTCTTGATTGAAGGTCATGTGTAAGGCATCTTATCTACATCCAAAGAGAGATTACTGCGATAAGCTTCAGAAACAACCCTAGAATGTCCTTTAATAATTCAATTAAATTTTATATTAATATACCCTAACAGCAAAGAATTATCCAGGTAATAAGTCTTAGTAGATACAGACCTACATTAACAAACTGGGATTTAACATTCATCAAAACATCTCTTTCTAAATTCACCATCATCTTTACCAAATATAACCTAATTAAGACCTGTTTGTAATGTAGGTCTGGTCTCGAGAAACTTGACCTGGTGATTTACATAACCACAGCCGAGAGGAGCTACCCCATGCCCGAGGTCAGGGGTGGTGGCTGAGAGGAGCAACCCCACTTCCAAGGAGCGGCAGCTGCGCAGGCACAGAAGGGCCGAGAGGAGCTACTCCAAGTTCAAGGTCAGGAGGGGCAGCCGTGAGGAGATACTCCTCGTCCAAGGTAAGGAGCAGCAGCTGCACTTTGCTGGAGCAGCCGTGAAGAGATACCCCACATCCAAGGTAAGAGAAACCCAAGTAAGATGGTAGGTGTTGCGACAGAGCATCAGAGGGCAGACACTCTGAAACCATAATCACAGAAAACCAGCCAATCTGATCACAGGACCACAGCCTTCTCTAACTCAATGAAACTAAGCCATGCCGTGTGGGGCCACCAAAGACGGACGGGTCATGGTGGAGAGGTCTGACAGAATGTGGTCCACTGGAGAAGGGAATGGCAAACCACTTCAGTATTCTTGCCTTGAGAACCCCATGAACAGTATGAAAAGGCAAAATGATAGGATACTGAAAGAGGAACTCCCCAGGT